TCCCTGGCTACAGGTAAGAGGCAGGGAGGGGGAAATACATAGAAAAAAATATATATAATAATTCAACCGCTAAAAAATACCCACCCGCAGCATTTGTCACACATCCACCACACACATACGTCATCAAACATACAAAATGCATCCACTACACAACCACACATATCATCCACCACATAAACACACAAACTGCATCCACTACACAACCACACACATCATCCACTACACAATCACACACATCATCCACTACACAACCACACACATCATCCACAACACAAATACACATCATCCACTACACAACCACACGCAGCATTCACTAAACAAACACACATCATCCACTACACAAACACACACATCATCCACTACACAAATACACATCATCCACTACACAACCATAAACATCATCCACTACACAAATACACATTATCCACTATACAACCACACACATAATCCACCACATAAACACACAAACTGCATCCACTACACAACCACACACTACAGTGTCCCCCCTCCCTGGCTACAGGTAAGAGGCAGAGAGGGAGAAATAATTAAAAAAAAATTATAAAAATTCAGCAGCTAAAAAATACACACACACTGCATCCACTACACTAACACACATGCAGCATTCACTACACAAACACACACATCATCTACTACACAAACACACAGCATTCACTACACAAACACACACATCATCCACTACAAAAACACACACACAGTATCCACTACACAAACACACACACCGCACTCACTACACAAACACACACACACCGCACTCACTACAGAAACACACATCATTCACTACACACTACATCCACTACACAAACACACACTCTGAATTCACTCTACACACGATTCATCCACTCTACACACACTATCCACTACACAAACATTCAATCTGAATCCACTATAAACACCGTATCCACTTTACTCATGCACTCTGCATCCACTACACACATTCTACAGCCATTATTCACACACAACCAAATTCTGTACACACACACACACACACACACACTTCATCCTTGTGGGTGGACTCAAGATGGGTCAGTGCCTTAGAAAGCCCAAAAAACTGGGCTCAGCCACACATTTGTCGGCCATCTTTAGAGGCCAGCAAGCAAGCCCACAGGGCAGCAAGCCAGCCAGCCCACAGGCCACCAGCCAGCCACCCCACAGGCCAGCAACCAGCCAGCCCATAGGCCACCAGTTAGCCAGCCCACAGGCCAGACAGCCCACAAGCCAGCAGCCAGCCACAGTCTTACAGCCATCAAGCCCACAGCCTGCCAGCTGTAGCCTGCAAGCAGCAGCCAGCAAGCCCACAGCCTGCAAGCCGCAGCCAGCAAGCCCACAGCCTGCCAGCCACAGCCAGCAAGCCCACAGCCTTCCAGCAAGCCCACAGCCTGCCAGCCATAGCCAGAAAGCCCATAGCCTGCCAGCCAGCAACATTATTTAAGGTAAGAGGAGCCAACTTGGCCTAGGTATCAGCGAGCTATATTGTGTTGCTATATTGTGAATAGGAACCACAGTGTTGGAGAGACCCCCATTCATGGCCCATTAGCACTCAATTGTTGTCTCTACTAGGGCCTGGTGGCGACAGGCTCTCTAATGGATGCTGAGATGGCCTCTGTTAGAAAGACCCCCTTCCAAGACTATTAGACTCCATTGTAGTCTCTAATTGGACCTGGAGGGGATTCTTTCTAACACACTCTCTAAATGAGTCTCCATTGTAGTCTCTTCTGGGGCCTCGAGGGGATTTTTGTTATTTATTTTGCACAGTTTGTTTTTTGCATTTCTTAATTATATTGCACTTGTTTAGAACTTATTGCACTTTTGTTCCTTGTGTCTAAAGATTGTGTAGGGTGTGGCTGGAGGCGGGGCATGGAGGCAGGACAAGGGTGGGGCTTGCTGCGGAGCATGGGTGGGGCCTGTAAGGGGGCCCTTGATTTATTTTCACTACACTATATTCCAAAAGACAAGTTTTTCCCAGAGCACAATAGAGAAAATAGATTGACCCTGTAGGCTCAGCAGTGCCTTTTCTGTAGCCAAGCATGTCAATGGATATAAATGTCCTCATCAGGTTGCCTCAGTTAATTATAGTTCTATTTATAACAAGCTACAATTTTTAAACTACAATTCTCTTTGGAAATGATTCTGTTGAAGTTCACAGATACACAGATACAGCACGTCTGTATCTGCATGTGTGTCAGTGTTTGTATCTGTGTGTCTATGTATCTGCATGAGTGCCAGTGTGGGTATGTTTGTCAGTGTGTATCTGTATGTTTGGGGAGCATGGGGCAGAGGAAGAGCAGGGAGAGCCAAGAGCAGAGAAAGTGCTGGGACAGCCTGAGGCAGAGGAGAAGCAGGGAGAACCTGGGGTAGAAAAAAAGACATATATATTTGAAATTACTGCAACTATGTTAATTACAAATATTTTGCTAATATGAGGGCTACTATTTATGGAAATTGGCTGCCAAGGGGTACTCAAGTGAAAAAAGGTTGGGAACCACTGCTCTAGAGCATTAGCACAAAAATGGTCTTGCCCAAAAATCCCCCAAGTATCTTTGGTCATAGCAAAACTTAGGGAAACTACCTTATGGACAAGCTAATGGCACAAGTCAGAAACTCACTCAATACTTTCAATAAGGTATGGGACCTGTGGGAGCAATACGATACATAAAGTATTACTGCGTACATGAACGGGAGGAGGGAATGGGTGTGTACGGAGATGGCTGGGGGCATGCTCTGGCGACGTCAGGTGGCATTCTCACCTTATATTCGCAACACTGACTTCTGGGAAATATCTTCACAAACACAGATCTAGAACAGGGTTAGGCAACCTTTTAGCAGCACTGTACCAATATAGGATTGTGATGTCCCATAGCGGGCCGGTCCTATTTTTTAAATTGAGGTGTGTATGCTGCCGTATTCTGCTTGTGTTATTTATACTGTAATTGCTTCGTATTATTGTATTTGTGCGTATATGAGCCATTTTATTGTATATGTTCAGAAGTAGTTTATGGTATCGTGTATGATACATATGAATGTGGGCTGTGTATGTTGGCTGCTTGTGGAATTGTGTGTGTGTGTGTGTGTGGATGGAAATATCACATTGTGTGTTTAGTAGTGTGTGTATGTGTGGGGGCGGTTTGGGGAATTGCACGTGAGAGGCTGCATGTGGGGATGTGTGCATGTATGTGGATATTTAGCGGATTACGTTTGTGTGGATTGTATGTATGTTTGTTTGTGGGCTGTATATCTAGCAGTGTGGGTGACTTCCCTGGGTTCCAGGCTGGCCAGGTACAGGAGGTGCAACAGCAGCTGCAGGCTGCTCTACTAAAGTGTGAGTTCCCATTCACAAGTGCTGGGAGGAAGTGATCTGTGATCACTTCCTCTACGTGCTGCAATGCATAAATTGAGGATTGTCCTTCACCACCTTTTTGTATTAGCTGATATCTGAAGTTTCACTGGGACTCCTGATAGGCCAGAGCCTGTTTGGCTCTAGCAGCCTTGAGTGCCGTGCAAAGACACCTTGAATGCCGTGCATGGCACTAGTGCCGTAGGTTGCCTACCCCTGCTCTAGAACCTCGAAGAGAGGCGGCAGCACCTCTATCAGGAGGTTTTCTGGTCAAGACTATGGTTGATTCACTACTAAGTTATGTCAGATCCTGGCCTTCCTGGAGTTCGACTAATCTTTTCTCTTTAGTTTTCCTTTACTATACTCTCTCACGTTTCACTTTTCTCTTTCCTCTCATGTTAAACAAAAAAAAAACCTGGCAGAAGGCGGAAAATGGCACTGATAAAGCTAGATATTGCTTGCAAGCCAAATGCGCAATATGTTACCCACTGTTAAAGTTCTGTAAAGCTACTATGTACCACTTATTAAATCATTATCTATTACCTGACTGATGTACAAACTGTTGAACTTTGAATGTTGCTATGGTCATGACAAAGCCGGAATGCCATTACATAAATAAAGAATAAAAAAATAAAAAAAAAATACACCTAGCGGTATTTTGAGCGCACAGCAAGAATGCCACGCAGAAAAGCACAATTTCTAAATTTTACATTTTTTTTAGATTATATTCATAATAAATTCTGTTTCATAAATAAATATTTCATGTGAAAGCCCTTTTTTTACTGAACAAAATGATATATAATAAATGTGGGTGCACTTAAAATGAAAGACACAAATTATGGTTGAACAGACATACAGTCAAATTCTATAGTTTGTTTGAATTTTGTTTTGATCACAACTTGTACAATTGGCTCAATCCTTAAGGGTTTCATTATATATTCTTGATTATTGTTTGTATTTTTATACCTAGAGGAAACAGGTTTTAATTTTGGTGAAATAGTGGCAGCTTGTAACTCAAGTCAATAAATAGGGCTTAGCATCTCCTATTAATTTGTAAAGGAAACCTTATTGCTATATTAGCCACAAATCATCAGATGCAAAAAGGATTGTAAATTAGGTGCTTGTAGGCAGCACATAATGAAAACATTCAAATTGAACCCTCAGTTTTTAAGTTACCACATTTTTGGCATGTTTGTTTAATGTCCACAGGGTGGCTCTGGAGACTAACTTTTCTCTGGTAGTTTTATGGTCTATTTTTCTCACTAAGTAACTGATAAACTGCAAAATGTGTTTGTATATAGTAATGTTCTGAAGATCATAAACCATGAGAATGGGGGTCCAGTGATTTATAAATGTCAGCAGAATCTTAAGATGCTATTATTTTTCCTTAATACACATTCAAAGTTACTCCAATGACTGATTTAAAGTTGTCATGGTGCATGCAGTCTGTTTGTGCAGCACTCTATTACAAAACACTGCACATACAGACAAAATACATACTGCTACTATACGCAATGTTCTCTGGCAGCATCATCAACCAGCCCAGAGCAAGACTACTAGGCTGGGAAATATTAATTCTGTTCATAATGTGCTTCTGTTGTCAGGACACATAGCATGTTGATGACAGACAACCAATGCCAGCATGACCCCCCTCTGTGCAGTCTAGGCACTACCCTCATCGATGCAAGAGAAGGGATGTTCCAGAGAAGAATCAGACTGCAGGGCAAATTTGTTATTGCCCAGTTTGCATACTATCTCAAATGCATGATAGGCCCAGAAAATCACTTATTTTTGGGCAAAACCTGTACATTGGGATACTGTTCTATTCATGTTAAATCAACTGAAATTGACTGACAACTGGGGGAAATAAAGTCCAGGCCAGGAATTCAGATGGTCTCCAACACATTTTCACTTGCAAGTAATCAGCTGCAGAAATGGAAATAAATCCCTGCCTGGTAAAGAAGTAAAAGAGGTTTTGTTTTTCCTTTGGGGGCTGGAAGCAGCATGCTGGCTTGTGACTGAGCAACTTAAGTGCAGAATATTTACCGTAAACAAGGTTGGTGAAACATTTGTTTTGTTTAAAGGGACACTCCAGGCACCCAGACCACTTCTGCCCATTGGAGTGGTCTGGGTGCCAACTCCCACCACCCTTAACCCTGCAAGTGTAATTTTTGCAGTTTTTATAAACTGCAATAATTACCTTGAAGGGTTAAGTCCTCTAGTGGCTGTCTATCACAGTAGAGGGACTTCCGTGTTCTTAGAACCCAAAAAGTGTTTTAACCCCTTAAGGACTGGACTGTTTTTGCGATGTTGTACATTTGCGACCAGGAATATTTTTACACTTTTCTGGTGTTTGTGTTTAGCTGTAATTTTCCGCTCTCTCATTTACTGTTCCCATACAAATTATATATTGTTTTTTTCAGGACAAAGGGGGCTTTCTTTACATACCATTATTTATATAATCTCATGTATTTTAATTTTAAAAAAATAAAAAAATGATGAAAAATTGAAAAAAATACATGTTTTTTGACTTTTACTTGAAAAATCTTTTACTCATCTACAAAAGCGAATGAAAAAAACAGCTAAATAGATTCAAAATTTTGTCCTGAGTTTAAAAATACCCAGTGTTTATGTGCTTTTTTGCTTTTTTTTTGCAAGTTATAGGGCTATAGGTACAAGTAGGATATGGCGGTTTCAAAACAAACATTTTTAAAATGTAACAATAGTGACATTGTAACACTATTATCTGTCATAAATCTCTGGAAAACACTCCACATGTATATATTTTTTTAAAGTAGACAACCCAGGGTATTCATCTAAGGATATTTTGACACTTTCTATGCAGCCATTTTACCACAAGTCTTTGCCAAACTTTGCATAGATAGTTGTTTTTTTTGTTTTTTTTCACATACATTGCAATTCAGGTATAAACTTACAGATCCTGTTATGTCTTGCTGCCAAAAAAAAACACTAATATATGTTCAGCAATATCTCCCGAGTACAGTGATACCACTCATGCATAGGCTTGTCGGATTGTTTGGGGGCTAAAAGGCCACATTTGGCAGGTTCGCATATCCATTTTTCAACTTGGAATTTTGACATGTAGTCAACCTGCGCACATGTCCTATTTGGGACATTTGTAAGGCCGGCCAATGTATTTTACCCCCACCAAACCATATATTTTTTGGAAAGTAGACACCCTAGGGTATTTCAAATGGTGGTTTTTTAACACTTTCCATGCACTAATTCTACCACCAGACTTTGTCAAACATTTAGGTAGTCATTTTTTGTGTGTGTTTTTTCACACACATTGTACTTTAGGCATGAATTAACAAATCGTGTTATGTGTCACTGCCAAACAACACACCAATATGTGTTCAGCAACATCTCCTGAGTACAGTGATACCACCCATGCATAGGCTTGTCGGATTGTTTGGGGGCTAAAAGGCCACATTTGGCAGGTGCGCATATCCATTTTTCAACTTGGAATTTTGACATGTGGTAAACCAGCGCCCCTGTCCTATTTGGGACATTTGTAAGGCCGGCTATGTATTTTACCCCCACCAAACCATATATTTCTGGAAAGTAGACACCCTAGGGTATTTCAAATGGTGGTTTTTTAACACTTTCCATGCACTAATTCTACCACCAGACTTTGTCAAACATTTAGGTAGTCATTTTTTGTGTGTTTTTTTTTCACACACATTGTACTTTAGGCATGAATTAACAAATCGTGTTATGTGTCACTGCCAAACAACACACCAATATGTGTTCAGCAACATCTCCTGAGTACAGTGATACCACCCATGCATAGGCTTGTCAGACTGTTTGGGGGCTAAAAGGCCACATTTGGCAGGTGCGCATATCCATTTTTCAACTTGGAATTTTGACATGTAGTCAACCTGCGCACATGTCCTATTTGGGACATTTGTAAGGCCGGCCAATGTATTTTACCCCCACCAAACCATATATTTTTGGAAAGTAGACACTCTAGGGTATTTCAAATGGTGTTTTTTTAACACTTTCCATGCACTAATTCTACCACCAGACATTGTCAAACATTTAGGTAGTCATTTTTTGTGTGTTTTTTTTACACACATTGTACTTTAGGCATGAATTAACAAATCGTGTTATGTGTCACTGCCAAACAACACCCCAATATGTGTTCAGCAACATCTCCTGAGTACAGTGATACCACCCATGCATAGGCTTGTCGGATTGTTTGGGGGCTAAAAGGCCACATTTGGCACGTGCACATATCCATTTTTCAACTTGGAATTTTGACATGTGGTAAACCAGCGCCCCTGTCCTATTTGGGCCAATGTATTTTACCCCCATCAAACCATATATTTTTGAAAAGTAGACAACTCAGGGTATTTTAAATGGTGGTAGTTTAATGCTTTTCATGCAATAATTCTACCACCAGCCTTTGGCAAACTTTTGGGTAGTAATTTTCTTCATGTTTTTTTACACATACATTGTACTTTAGGCATGAATTAGCAGATCCTGTTATGTATCACTGCCAAACAACACCCCAATATGTGTTCAGCAACATCTCCTGAGTACAGTGACATCACCCATGCATAGGTTTGCTGGGTTGTTTGGGGGATAAAAGGCCACATTCAAGACTTGTACATATCAGTTTTTCAACTTGATATATAGGTATGCTTGGCCTATCTTCAGTTTGGCATATTTTTGCATCCCCCCGTTAATGTTAACATCATGAAAGTTTATATTTTTATAAAGTAGACATTCCAGGGTATTGTATATGAGGTGTTTTCACATCCTTCCCCCAACCATTATGCTAAACAAATTTCAGAGAACGTGCATGGTGGTAATTTTTGAATTCTGCTTTTTATGCACACGTCATCTGGTTTTGGCCAGCCAGTTATATGTTACTACCATAAAACTTTTTTAACCAAATGTGCAGGTATCAAATGCACCTTTAGCAGCATTCTCTAAACTAACTCCTGCAAAAAGAATCTAATTGGAGATTTGGGGGGAAGGAAACTGACTGACTGAAATTTGCTGCTTTCAAAAGAAAAAACAGTGCAAAGGGGTGTCTGTCCTTTTCCTTATAACAGACCCAGCAACATTTCAGGGGATTTGTTTTTTTTTTTGCAGTTGGCGGTATCTTAAAAATAAAATGTCTGGACTCCTTTGGCACCGTTGTTGGAACTTGACCATCTCCATAAATTATTGTGGAAATCAGCTTGAACTAAAATTGGAGAAAGGTGGTTCTTTCTGGATTCATTTTTTTTAAAGAGTAAAAATTAATTATGTGTTGCTACTTGCATCAGGTAGATAGCCACCTTTTTATACCAGGCTTTTGTCTTTCTTAAGATAAGATATGGCTGCATCAGCTGATCAGCCAAATCAACACCCCCATGTGCATTTTATAAGCCCTGATGCAAACAGGTTTGGTCTGTACTCTGCCTCGGACAGTGACGTCTGACATGCTTTCGTCATGGATGGTGGTTAGTATATTAACATCCTTCCTGTCCTTAAATTTTATTGCAAGCACTTTAGCTTTGTGCAGACCTTTACATTCACTTTTTTTTTATTTGGTCTCTATAAAAGGTCTGGGGAAATCCTTGGCATATCTTCTCACACTGCCACAGGCCAGTATCTAGAAACCCTTAAGAGTTTGAAACAAACGGACAATGCTATAAAAATTGTCCACATAAAGGTGGTAACCCTTATTGAACAAGGAGATCAGTAAGTCAAAAACAAGTTTCCCGCTTGTCCCCAGAGAGTCAGTACAGCCAGGAGGGTCCAGTTGACCATCTTTCCCCTCATATATACGAAAGGCAAATGTATAGCCACTTTCGCTCTCGCACAGTTTGTAGAATTTTACGCCATACCTAAAGCGCTTTGAGAGGATGTATTGTTTGAATCCTAATCTCCCTTTATATTTCATTAACGATTCATCAATAGATACATTTTTTGAGGAGTATAAACTTCAGTAAATTTGTGCTGAAGATGGTCTACCAGTGGGTGTATTTTATGAAGCCTATCATATTGGGTGTGATCTCTGGGGTGACAGAGGGTATTGTCATTGAAATGTAAGTATCTCAGCAGCAGCTCAAATCTTGTTCTAGACATGGTTTGAGAGTACACTCGACTAGAACAGATTGGGTTGGTGCTCCAGTAAGAGCAAATTGATGGCTTCTTTATAATCCCCATGAGAATTGTAAGAGCCCAGAATTTTTTAAGTTCAGCGACATCTGTGGGATGCCAAGCACACTCCTCCCTGACTGCATAGCTATCTGGATTGGTATCAATAAATTGGGTAGCATATAAATTAGTCTGGGGAGCAATCTCCTCCCACATGGTATCCCCTAAAAATAGCTCCATATATTGCATAGGGGAGAAGTCATCCACATTGACATTAATGCCTGTGTTGGCACTAAAAGGGGTGATTTGGGGCTCAGCTAACTGTGGAGAAACCTGTTCCTCCTCCACATTCGGCGTAGCAGAGAAAGCACAGCTTCTTTTTGCAGCCAGCTCACACACAGATGACATGTCAGAAAACTGACCTGGGTCAAAATCGGACGCAGTGTCAGTGGCGTCAGAGTCTGGCTAACACAGAGTTACTAACACACAATTTTTTTTTTATTTTATACTAAAAACAGACTAAAACTGATAAAAACAGACTAAATGAGACTAAAACTTCTGTTAGCAGCAATCTGTAAACTAACTCCTGCAAAAAGAATCTAACTGGAGATTTGGGGGAAGGATACTGACTAACAGAAATTTGCTGCTTTCAAAATAAACAAAAAAAATAAATCAGGAACAAGTATTATAAAAATGTATTTTCTGTGTGGTAGACCTTAAAACATGCTCCAATACACAGTCCAGGTTTTGTAGGGCAATCGGGACAGTGAAAAGGGGTGTCTGTCCTTTTCCCTTTTTTATAACAGACCCGGCAACGTTTCTGGGGGTTTCTTTTTTTTGGTGTTGGCGGTATCTTAAAAATAAAATGTCTAGACGACTCTTGCACTGTCGTTGGAACTTGACCATCTCCATAAATTATTGTGGAAATCAGCTTGAGCTGAAATTGGAGATAGGTGGTTCTTCCTGGATTCATTTTTTTAAAAAGTAAAAATGAATTATGTGTTGCTACTTGCAACAGGTAGATAGCCACCTTTTTATACCAGGCTTTTGTCTTTCTTAAGATAAGATATGGCTGCATCAGCTGATCAGCCAAATCAACACCCCCCATGTGCCTGTTATAAGCCCTGATGCACACCGGTTTTGTCTGTACCCTGCCTCGGACAGTGACGTCTGACATGCCCTCGTTATGGATGGTTGTTAGCATGTGAACATCCTTCCTGTCCTTAAATTTTAGCGCAAGCAGTTCAGCCTTGCGCAGAGCTTTGCATTCCCCTTTTTTTAATTTGGCCTCTATGAGAGGTCTGGGGAAATCCTTGGCATTTCTTCTTACAGTGCCGCAGGCCAGTGTCTGTAAACTATAAAGAATTTTAAACAAGTGGACACTGCTGTAAAAATTGTCCACATAAAGGTGGTAATCCTTATTGAACAAAGGGATCAGTAGGTCCCAAACAAGTTTCCCACTTGTCCCCAGAGAGTCAGGACAGCCAGGAGGGTTCAGTTGAGCATCTTTCCCCTCGTATACACGAAAGGCAAATGTGTAGCCACTTTCGATCTCGCAAAGTTTGTACACTTTAATGCCATACCTAGACCACTTTGAGGGGATATATTGTTTGAACCCTAATCTCCCTTTGTATTTCATAAGGGATTCATCAATGGATAAAGTTTGTTGGGGAGTATAAACTTCAGAAAATCTGTTCTGAAGATGGTCTACCAGTGGGCGTATTTTATGAAGCCTATCATATTGGGGGTGATCTCTGGGGTGACAGAGCGTATTGTCGTTGAAATGTAAGTATCTCAGCAGCAGCTCATATCTTGGTCTAGGCATTGTTTGGGAGAATATAGGAGTCGAACAAATTGGGTTGGTGCTCCAGTAAGACCGGATTGATGGCTTCTTTATTATCCCCATGAGCATGGTAAGAGCCCAGAATGTTTTAAGTTCAGGGACATCTGTGGGATGCCAAGCATGCTCCCTGACTGTAGAGCTACCTGGATTGGTCTCAATAAATTGGTTAGCGTATAAATTAGTCTGGGAAGCAATCTCCTCCCAGATGGTATCCCCTAAAAATAACTCCATATATTGTATAGGGGAGAAGTCAACCACATTCACATTAATGCCTGCGTTGGCACTAAAAGGGGGGATGTTGGGCTCAGCTAACTGTGGAGGTACCCAATCCTCCTCCACATTCAACGTAGCAGGGGAAGCACAGCTTCTTTTAGCAGCTGGCTCACACACAGATGACGTCACTAGACGTGCCGCTAAACTGACCTGGGTCAAAATCGGACGCAGTGTCAGTGGCGTCAGAGTCTGACGCCAAGAAGGCATATGCCTCCTCCAAGATGTACATGCGCTGCATGTTTCACACTAACAGACTAAACTAACAAAATACTAAACGCAATATTTTTTTTTTATTTTTTTTAACACTAAAACAGACTAAAACAGTAATCCCTAAACTATCTCCTGTTAGAAGAATCTAATGGAGATTTGGGGGAAGGAAACTGACTGACTACGACAGACTATGACAGACTACGACAGACTAAAACAGACTACGACAGACTAAAACAGACTAAGACACAGATTTTTTCAAATAAAGTTAACCCTTAAGGGCAAAAAAAAAATACAGACAGTACAAATGCACTGTCTGTAACAGATCTGGCAGGGAAGGGGTTAAAATTGGATTTTTATTAACTGCAGATACTTTTTAATTTTCTCAGGAACAGCTGCTGCAACAATATATCACGATCTCTGTCTCTCTCCTCTCACAAAACGCTACAGAGAGGAGAGAGGCAGAGATCAGTGTCAAAGTGAGTGTTTGTAACACCCACTTTGACACCAGCCAATTGTGAGCGATCGCGGATCGCTCACACGCCGTAATTGGCTGTTACTATCTGCCTGGGATGCCAGGCAGATAGTAACAACGGGATTTCGGCGGAAGCGATCTCTCGCTCCCACCGCCCTTTTTCCGTTAGGACGGTTCAGGACCGTCCTCGGTCGGCAACGCAAAAATGCAGAGGACGGTCCTGAACCATCATGCGTACTGAAGGGGTTAAACGACGCTGGACGTCCTCACGCTATGCATGAGGACCTCCAGCGTCGCCAGAATCCCCATAGGAAAGCATTGAATAATGCTTTACTATGGCAGGTCTAATGCGCATGTCGGTGGGGGAGGAGTGTGGGCGGAGCCTGACCCAGCGCCGAGGGACATCGGTGCTGGATTTAGGTAAGTCACTGAATGGGTTTAACCCGTTCAGCAACATGGGATGGGGGGGGGGTGAGAGGGAGAAGGGCACTGCAGGGTCCTTCAGTGACAAGAAAACAGATGTTTTCCTGGCACTGGAGAGTCCCTTTAAGTTTAACCCTTGATAGATAGGGACCTGAATGTTCATAATAGCTCAGATAAGCTAGGATTTTGTTTTTAGGGATTTATTTTATATTATTTCTTTGGTATTTTTTTCTGATGATGCCTCCTGAATGGATTTCAAAATAAAGTGCCTGCATTTGTTAATCCTACAAGACTTTTATACCCTAGAGGACTGTGCTATTTGCAATACTAGATCACACCACCTACACATATTTGTCCTGGTCTTCCTAAAATTGCAGAGTTTTCCACTCCTATGCAGCATTCCTCATTTGTGACTTTTTTTTGTATATTACTATACTGCAATCCCTATGGAGACGCATAGGCAGAGGAGTGCCTTGACAGCTGGTACTGAGCAAGGCAGTAGGTATTGGTAGAGAGGGTGAGATGTTAGGAGGATGAAGGGTATATAGGGGAAGCCATTTTATGGGTAAATCTGTCAATCTCTTTTCATCTGTATCTGTGCTGTCCCCCTTGGTTCCTTTCTGTCTCTCTTTCTCCTGGTGTCTTTGTCCACTTTGTGTGGGTGCTCTGTGTGTGTTCTCTGTTCCCTTGTTGTGTGGCTCCTGTCCTGACCCACCCACCCTCTTTTTTTTTTCTTACCTGTAGTGGCAGCATGGAGCCAGCGGTGGATCCGGTCCTGGAGAGGCTGTTGGGTGAGATCCACGCAGCAACATGGCTCTCTCTCGGCCCATCATGACAGAGCTGGGACCTGCGGGAGGGACCAGTGGTGCGGCTGGCGAGGAGGATGAGTCCCAGAGACTCAGCCCGGAGGATCCAGCGGGCTGCAGGCAGACTGGGAGTGGAGGAGGCCGGGTGCAGGATCTGGTATGGCTGCTGCCAGGGTGGAGGTTGGGAGGAGCTCCACCCCGGCCAGGCACTGAGCAGGCCTGAAGGGAGAAGTGCAGGATCTGCTTCGGGTGACAGTCTGGGTCCTGTGGCTAGCACCATAGAGGCATGGAGGGCTGTGCTTTCTTTAGTATCTGAGGGCTGTAGCGGAAAGCTGCTATTACACAGGTTATCTCCACTTAAGATCCCAGTAAGGCTCAGGAACAAGTATTAGAAATCCATAAGGCAATAATTCCAGCAGGCAAAACAATCCAACAATATCCTAACAATGACTGGACGACACACAGCATCAGGAGCAGAACTGAACTTTTAATCACACAGATTCCTTATAAAGGATTCTCCCATGCAAGGGAGGGATTTACAATAATTGGTACAGTGGCCAATAGTACAGTAGTTACTGTAACGGACCGTTTTGCACACAAGGGGTAAAAAAACGTTTAGGCAATCGGCCCCCTTTCCAGAGATACAGGCACAGCTACTGCAGAACACCAAACTCCCGGACTGGATACAAAATAGCACTCCAACTCCCGAACTGGAACCTCCCAAATAGCTGCTAGCAGACGAACAGGAAAAGCAGACAATCAGCTTACACTCCTGGCAATCAGTCTCTAACAGCATACAGTGAATCCCCCCAAGAATGAGACAAGGTTCCGTGTTGAGGGTCAAGCAGTGGTCTGAGGTGCTGGCACACCCAGCCTGGTTTTTATTACAGTATTGCAAATACAGGACCGCCCACAGGGAGGTATAAAATATCCAGTAACATATTAGTTACAACCCACAGATTCCCTCCCCCTTATCCTGAGAGGTAACCCAATACACATACCTTTTACCACAATGCATCCTGGCTTCCTCTCCTCTGCCCTGGAGATAAGTGAGAAGTAATTCAATTATCTCCCAGGACAGGGACAAGACTCCATTATGCACATGGTGACACAAAGACAGTAAAACACTTTAAAATGCATAAAGTCACCTTTTACACATAACACACAGACATTTAACATATCCCCAGATAGCTCAGGTCTGAGCGCACATTATTAAGCGAATGGCGCTCAGACCACACGAATACAGTTTAATCGCCATGGAGCCAAAGTCTTTACAGTCAGTTTCATACGAATGGGCTCCATGGGATTCTTATCTGGGGTATAACACATTCAAACAAATCTACCGAACCCCAGGCAGAAAAGCACGAATGAAGCTTTTCTGCAGGTAAAAAAAGATGTCTTTTAACAGGGGGCCATAGTCCAAAGGCAGCAGTCGAGCAACCAGTCTTCTCCAATGCAATGTGGCGAGATTGGTCTCGTCACATCTCTCCCCTTTTCCAAACAGACTAACAGGGTATCTGACCTCCTGCCGGTCAGTGCACTTGTTAGTCCAGCAGCCCACCCACAAAACATAATCAACAGCACAGCCCACCCACAATAAATGGTTACTACACCTGGGTAAAGGAGAAGCTTGTCCATGTCCAGGAGCCTCACCACAGCTGTGCTGGGTACGGGTACGCTGACTGGGTGGGTTGCTGCGTGGGCAGAGACCAGCGGCACTCTGCCCTGTTGCCAGCGCTACTGGGAGGGTAGCCTGGTTGAAGCCTGGTTGTTGGAGGGGGTGACCGACTGTCTCCCCTTTAACTACACCGCTCTGCTGCTGGAGACCGACTGTCTCCCCTTTAGATACACCGCTCTGCTGCTGGAGACCGACTGTCTCCCCTTTTGTTGCACAGCTCTGCTGCCGGAGGGGGAGACCGACTGTCTCCCCTTTGGCTACTCTAAGCTGTCGCTGGGGAGAGGGGGTAACAGGCTCCTCTCCCGATAGAACACTCTGCCGCTGGGGAAAGGAGACTGAGCTCTCTATTCCCTGCCCATTAATGATCCGCTGCTGGGGAGAGGTGGTAACAAGCTCCTCTCCCATACATACTTTCATCCTCAGTGGAGGGAGACCGACTGTCTCCGCTCCCAATACAGTGTCCTGCTGCTGGGGAAAGGAGACTGGGCTCTCTATTCCCGGTAGGACACTCTGCCGCTGGGGAATGGAGGCTGGGCTCCCAATTCCCTGCTGTATCTCCCGCTGGGGAATGGAGACTGGGCTCCCAATTCCCGGCACATCACTCGGCCGCTGGGGAATGGAGACTGGGCTCCCAATTCCCAAAAAATCACGCTGCTGCTGGGGGGCAGGAACAACTACCTCTGCCCCTGTAGCTCAGCCTGCCGCTGGGGAGGGAGGACGCTGCTCTCCTCTCCCTGCACTTCACACTGCCTTCCCGGCATATCACTCTGCTGCTGGGGGGCAGGCACAACTACCTCTGCCCCCTGTAACTCAGCCTGCCGCTGGGGAGGGAGGACGCTGCTCTCCTCTCCCTGCACTTCACACTGCCTTCCTGGCATATCACTCTGCTGCTGGAGGGCAGGAACAACTACCTCTGCCACCTGTAACTCAGCCTGCCGCTGGGGAGGGAGGACGCTGCTCTCCTCTCCCTGCACTTTACACTGCCGCTGGGGAATGGAGACTGGGCTCCCAATTCCCGGCATATCACACTGCCGCTGGGGAATGGAGACTGGGCTCTAAATTCCCTGCAATATCTCCCGCTGGGGAATGGAGACTGGGCTCCCAATTCCCGGCATATCACACTGCCGCTGGGGAATGGAGACTGGGCTCCCAATTCCCTGCATATCACACTGCCGCTGGGGAATGGAGACTGGGCTCCCAATTCCCTGCATATCACACTGCCGCTGGGGAATGGAGACTGGGCTCCCAATTCCCGGCATATCACACTGCCGCTGGGGAGAGGAGACTGGGCTCTCTCTGTCCCGCAACTGTAGCTGCCGGTGGAGGTCTACCCACCGTGGCAGCTGACCGTCACCATCTGCCCGGTACAGCAGAGTCTTGAATACTAGACTCCTCACGAACTTCACGGATTTCTCAGCTGGATTAGGCCCGTAGAAGTTCAGCCGCAACCACATCATACGGTCAAATTCCTGTACAGAGTATCTGTACTCCACTGCTGGTTCCATTCTGTTGCTGTCAGGGTCGCTGTACTGAGCGCACATTATTAAGCGAATGGCGCTCAGACCACACGAATACAGTTTAATCGCCATGGAGCCAAAGTCTTTACAGTCAGTTTCATACGAATGGGCTCCATGGGATTCCTATCTGGGGTATAACACATTCAAACAAATCTACCGAACCCCAGGCAGAAAAGCACGAATGAAGCTTTTCTGCAGGTAAAAAAAGATGTCTTTTAACAGGGGGCCATAGTCCAAAGGCAGCAGGCGAGCAACCAGTCTTCTCCAATGCAATGTGGCGAGATTGGTCTCGTCACAGTTACCTCCCATACATCTCCTCCCCTCAGTGTGACACATAATCCACTTATACATGCTACAGTTTTATCCGGTTTTTGGATGTACCCTAAAACAGTCAGATACAATTGTCTAAGTGGTACCCCCTGGTAGCCCTGATCTGGTTGACCAACGTATTCAAAATTCACCCAGATCAGACCAGGGGTTCGGGATTAGGTGGAAGAGACAATTTGACCGACCGCACATGAGGTGGTAGCCGAAAAGGGTTCCATGTGTTTTGGCTCTGCGGTCGTTCTCCGTTCGGGAGATAAAATACACATAAATCCTTGCCATCCACTATTAAATTGGTATTCGTCTGAATACCCTTGTTCGGTACTTTTAATTCACCGAACGAGGGGCTGATTGGCCCCTCCGTTTGGGAGTTACGGAGCTCTGGAGGTCTCAGCGGTGTTCGGGTAATTGAGTGTCCGATTTGAATTCCAGACACTCAACGACCAAACACCACTGAGGTTTCGTTGGTAAGATGGCCGCCGCCATGTGTTCGTATGCCGAATGGCGGCCACTCAGATACATCTATAAAGTACCGATCGCACCAATTAACTTGCGGTTAGAGAAGTGTGAAAGCCTAATTAGGTACACACTTCTCTCTGGGGTGGTCTACTGGTTCGGTAGTTTTCATTCGTATGGAATACGGATGAAAACTAACGAACAAACATACGAGTGCTACATACAATTTTAGTTATACATGAGAATAAACACACGAATTGCACTTTTAACATAACCCTTGAGGACAGTCCAATGCCATCCGCTACAAGGGCGATCAAGTTGGAGAAGTCAGTGGCGGGCCTGGAAGTGAGGCAGCTTAGGCCGTGCAGGTGGAGTTCCAGGAGGACAGGAATGGCAGGAACCCGTAGGGAGCTGTTGAAGGCAGTTCACGAGGGGTTTCTTCGTGTGGAGGGGCAGCTGCAACGACTGGCAGTTCCAGACGGGTGCAGGCGGCACTGCGGTCTAAGAGGATTCGGCTCACCCACGGCAAAGCTAGGAGGCGAGTCCCGGGGAGGGGTGGTTCTTGACGTAGTGGTTCCCTCCAGCTAAGAGTTCCAGGGTCTTAGGGTTGTCACATATTCATCCACCTATAAAAATGTGGTTAATGGCATTTACTGTCAACACAGGAAAAGTTGTGCCGAGCAGCAATCAAATCCACAGAAGGGTTAATGCTGAGCAGCAATTATGCAAATGAAACCTGGTAGCTGCCTTTGGGGTCAAAGGCCGGTTACAGCCTATCAGATCTAGATTTAGGCCCAGTTCTCATCCTGTTCAGTGCCCTGTCATGGTTTCCCTTGTGGTTGTCCGAGAGCGCGTTCCTGATTCTAGTTACTTCTGGTTTTTGACTTTGGCTTTGATTTTGACTTCCCTGTATTCTGGTATCACTGACTTCTGGCTTTCTCTTATCGTTGTGTCTCTTTCTGTATCCCTTGACCTCTGCAAGTATCCTGACTATTATTTGGTACGTTAAGTCCGGCCATTCTAAGGCCCAGTAATACGTTACCTATTAGTCATCTGTGTGACCCAATTCTACGTGCTGGATCAACTAGTAATCTTGACAAGGGGGTTGGGCTACAGTTTAGGGGTTTCCCAGGGAATGGTGAGCGTAGGGGGATTCAGAGGGGAAGCCGCATCCAGATTTTAGGGGGCAGTGGGATGCAGGGAGGGGTTAGTTCAGACAGTGGTAGCAGCTCTGGGGAATTTTGTCCCAGGGGGAGGGCCAGCAGGTTCTATAAGAGTGGGCGCCGGCGAGGCTCTCTTAAACTAAGAGGAATATAATATTTTATATATTCAAATGTAACCAAAAAGTTCATACAGAGATGGAAGTAGATCAGCAGAGTACTGCATTTTGCCTAGACCTCGGGAAAAGCATTTGTAAGCTTAGAAGTAGACAGAGAGACAGTTATTTGAATATTGGAGAATGGCAGGGGAATGGGCGGGTTGCTCTGCGTAATAGGGTGGGCTGGAGGCCTCTCTCAACAGTGCGGGCAGGTCAGCTTTGAGGAATGTGGGTGGGCTCTGAGGGGGGGGGCCCTTCCAGCTTGCAATTCCCCTACGTGAGGAAGGGAAACAAAGTGCAGCTCTCTTGTCTGCTGCCTTTGCAAGCCCTATGTTTATTCCTCAGTAGCTCAATGACAAACAGAGCTGTCATTAGACATTTTGGGGCCTGACACAGCTTAAGTTCTGGGGCCCACCCCTGAGATCACCAACCGGGCTGCCTCGAGTCTGCTCACAGAGCCTGCCCCCGAGTCCACCAACAGGGCCCATCCTGAGTTCACCCACAAGGATGAAATGTGTGTGTGTGTGTGTGTGTGTGTGCGCAAACACTACCGGAGAGCAAGGCAGAGAACCCCATATTGCATCTGCAGGAGCTCCTGGAGGTTGACCGGTAAAATCAGCAAATGCCCTGGAACTATTTTGGGCATAGGACCACGTGTGCGGTCGGTCAGAACTTTAACACGGTGGCATTTATCCTACACTGCATGGATCTGAGGGCTATTTGGAGAACTTGGGCGCTCAGACCAGGGCTATTTGGGGATGTATTATTTGTGGGGGTTTTTATGTTTTTATTATGTTTTGGGGTACTTTATGTTTTTATATTTTGTGTTTGGCTGTCTGTTCCTTACCGGTCTTTAATGCAATTATCTCCCCGGCCCAGAGATTACTGGGAGGGGCTTGTGTTGAATACAATGGAGACACCTGCTGGGGTCTGTGCATAGAAGGCCCAGTCTTGCTCATTAAAATCAGTTGTACTCCCAGAACTATGTGTTGTCTAGTTACTGGAAGAGGAAAGGGCTAATCACTGTTAAGCACTTTGTTCCAGCTAATGGAGGATTCAGCAGGGAAAGTCTGTGTAAGGACTATAGCTCCCAGGACGTTGTATCATTCAGTCCCTGGGAGTGAATAGACCCTATCCTGTTCCAGGACAGAGAGGCTCCAGGAGGACCCCAGAGTTGATTTAGTGGATGTAGTGTATGTATAGCGAATACAGCAGTGTGTATCTGATGTAGGTGTGTGTAAATGTTGTGGGGCTGCGTACTGTGGGGTTGGGGGAGAGCATATATATATATATATATATATATATATATTTTTTTTTTTTGTTCTTTTCATTTTTATTTATTGTCATATATTGTATTTCATCCCCTTCTCCCCCCTCTGCCCCCCTGCTTCTTACCTGTGGCCATGGAGGGGGGAGATTACATTCCCTGGTGGTCCAGTGGTATGGTGTGGATGTCTGGCTACCTGTTACTGCAGGGGGACTAGCACACTTTATGTTCACTTCTTAGCTCCTCTCTCTCATACTCTTGCAAACCGCACGGGAGCTTGCATAATAAAAAGACAGAAGAGCAGCTGAGAAGTGAACATGGAGTCTGCTGGCCTCCCTGCAATTACAGGAAGCTGGGGGCCAGCAGTGCACAGGTATATAACGATAATCGCTTTATATATGTGCAATTATGGAATGTGGGGCCTAGAACTGTCATGGTTGTCATGTCCTGATGACAAATTGCGGCAAGGCAAGTCCTCTGATCAATTGCCTGCCTCTTAAGTTTAGTTCCAAAGAGCTAAACAAACCAGGACGTAACAATTTGTAAAATGGAAAAAAAAGAGGACACATTATTCGCACATAAACCATTTCAGCAGACTAAAGTGTTTTAGTGATCCGGAGTGTCCCTTTAAGATTGTGGAAGTTCATTAGCAAGCTATCACTACTGGTGATAGTCAACCACACTGGGTGGTAGTTAATGATCGGAAACCTCTTGATCAAGAATAATCTGGTTCAATGATATAGCAAATTATTCACTAAAATAGAAATTGTGAAAAGATGACAAGTGATTTTTAGATAATGCTAAAATAAACTGGAAAAATCTCCAAACTAGCCTCCTCTGCATTTAATGCTTTCTAAAAATTATCTTGTCTGTCTCAGTTTTAGTCGATAAACCTCTTGGGAGTCAATATACATTTTAATATACAAATAAAATCTATATAGTATACATTTTAATAAGAAAAGAATTTCAAAATTGTTGATTTGCATGTTTTTACAGAAACAGTGTCTGATTTTCCCTTAGATGTCTGTGTAAACAGGATTTTTGTTCCAAGCCACTTAACTGCAAGCATGGATCATTTGGAGAATAATTCCACTTTTTGCTGTTTTACTCTCAAATTTGAAATTCACAAATAATAAAAACTACTACTTAATTTTTTACATTGCTTCCTTGCGGTTAAAATTATAATAGCACGTAATTGGAAGACTCCCTTAAGCCCAAATGGAAGGAGGTTGTGAACCAATTACAGTTTCAAATAAGAATGGAAAGAAATATTAGTATTAAAAAGAGATATAGGTCTAAATCATATCAAATGTGGGTATAATAATCAAACTAGTCTTGCACTAAAAGAAGACTGGCCATTATCTCAGATTTTTATTTAAATTATCTCAGAAAATAATACTATACTAGATAAATTCCGCGGTCATTTCTCTTGGCGTTGGACAATTTTCATTTTTATTTCTTTATTTTTTTTTCTTTATTTTTCTTCTGTTTTTTTTGTTTTCTATTTTTTTTATTGTTTTTGACAATCCAATATCCCTAAGAAATAACACTTTTAGGCTTCTTTACGATATTTGATAAATTAAGGCAACTAAGGAAAAATCTAAATTTAATAAGCAGGGAAGCAGTAAAAAATCAGATCAATTAATTTGCTCTGATGGTAAAGAGATTTTTCACTGCCCAGGCAAACCTGAAGGCATAATATAAGATATACACCAAAAAAAAGAGAGAGAACTTTGGATTTAGGTAGATACTATATATCCCCCAAATCCCTAGTTTCTCATGAGTGTAGCGCTGAATATAAAGTGAAAATTTCAGTGAAGGAATAGTGCTAGAACACGCACTTACCCTATATATTGTGCTTTAGTTTTCTTAATGGTATACCAAGAAAAAAGAACATAAAAAATACAAATAATAGTGTAGTATATTAAATGAATATTGTATAAAGTCTTTTAGTTGTAAATGATGAATTGAAATGAACTCACATTTTTTAGAGCCTTTTCCAGTTATAAGGCTCTAAACTTCCAGGTGTCTGTGTCTTTTTTAGGGGTAGATCACACGACCCGTCTCCCAAGATGAAAAAGGACGTAAATTTCTCTCCACGTTGCATAGAAAAGAGACACAGATATCCCCAATCTAAATGTAGTATTTTAGATTCTGATGTAGATCAATGTAAATAAAATACAAAAGTGCTCACCTTCTTTAGAGCCTCTGGTTAATATAAGATATGGCAGTTTTAGTGACTCAGAGTTATAGAGGAACCTGAAGATACATATAGTATGACATCATCTTTATAATGCTGATGACGGCTAAATATGAAGACGCATTATAGGTGAAGGCAGGGGTGGGAGATGGGTTAATAATTTTATATATGTATTTTTTTTTCTCTGTTTTGTCTGTATTCCTTTTCTTTATATTTTTGATTATGCTTGATAATGCAGCAGGATGATGACATATCCAGACACTATGTGTACCACTTGTGATGAGAGTGATGTCTGAAAACTGCAAAAAAAAAATTGAAATTCACTTTGAATTCCCAAAAAATCTTACTTTAGTGAATAACCCATAAGGAGTCTAGCACAAAACAAAATCAACATATAATGTTGCACTTATGACATGGTTAATATGACTGTATAAAAAAGAAAAATGTTTCAGTTTACATTACAATGTCATTTCACAATCCATGAACTAGATTTTTCTATTGTTTTGTTTTTGCTTTTGTTAATATATGCCTCAAGTATTTCTGCAGAACTGTAATCTTTTACATACTCTTGAGATAAGTATTGAATCTGACAAGGCAGCATGATCCTATCATGCAATCAATCTCTAGAATCCATTTCCAGCCACAGAAAGCCAAAATGTTTTTTCTTCTTTGCGTTTAGTGAAAAAGTATTTAATAAAAGAATACAGGATCTTTGCTGTCTCATTTAAATTAAGTATAAAAATACTTGAATGAACAATACATTAATTAGGCATACAAATCTGTGTGCCAAAAGCCATCGGTCTGCCCTCCACCCCCCTTGTTGAAATGGTTAAAACCCTTCTAACAATTACCTCTTTCCAATGTCAAGGTCCCTTGGTGCTTGCTATGTCCCCCCTTCCTCTAACATTAATGCAGTAGGGAACCTAATGCACACATGAGGGAAGTGCCATGCGTTCATTAGACCTTCCCCAAAGGAATGCAATGAATCAATGCTTTCCTATGGGAGATGGACATCATCATGTAAAGGCACATTCAAACTATGAACCTCACAACTTAAAAAACACGATGGTAAAATATGCAGTCATACATAATGTCGCAAAATACTATAGCCAATGTACCCAGCAATCAAACTTTTAAAAACTCTTCAGCAACCACTGGTAGGAGGGGAGGCAGGGTGATTGGGTATGTGTACCAAGTCTTTTTAACAAGTGATTGATTTTAACATGTTCTCCCCTCAGGTCTCTCTGATCCTGGGGCCTATTATGGAGCATTGCTTTCCCATGCAATAATTAAGCAATAACCAAATTGCTCACCACTGATGAGGTCAGCCATTGAGTCCAGACTTCAGAATAGCTCTGCACCCTCCATGTATCAATGATGATCACCTCTTCCACAAAGTGTAACTTCTCCATTCGCATGTACCACAACTCCATGGGCAATATTCAAAATTCTGATAATCATAGACTTCTTATTGGTCTACACAGTTTAGCTTATGGGGTGGAGCAGGAAGGCAGCTGGTTTTGCCAAATGGGCGAATCAGGGGACATTCCCACCAGTAATACTGCCTTCCACTTCGAGACATCTCCAGGATTTTCCAGAGTGCGTAGGGGTAAAAGGAATGAAGTACCTGCAGTGTCCTTTATTAGAATGTTAAAATGTTTCCTGAGTTTTGGTGGAAAGGGAGTAATGATGAATGAGGTCATACATCTTAAGCCACTGTGGTTTAGAAAAGGACTGACCTAAGGATTCCTCCCATTTTCAAATAAAAGGTGGTGGTGATAATCTGCTGTGCTGCTGCGTCATGTAGACAACACCTTTAACATACTTTTTGGAGTCACAGAAATGACGTGGAGCAATCAGAACAAATCAAAGCCTATATAATGCTTATCTGGGCCCTTATATATTCTTACTATTATATTTATATAGCGCCAACAAATTCTGTAACGCTTTACAATGGGTGGACTAGCAAACATGTAATTGTAACCAGACAAGTTTCACGCACAGGAACAGAGTGAATGAGCTTACATGCTAGAGGAAGTGGGGTAAAGTGGCACAAAAGGTAAGGGAAGTATTAGGGAAGTAGATTGGTAGAATAGTATTCACTGAAGACTTAGTGTGGTTTTTTTTAAATGACAGTTGCAGAGAGGAATCAGTTGGGAGCCATTAACAGTTTGATACACTTTTGTGAAAAAGTGAGTTTGTAATGATTTTTTTTTTTTTACAGGAGTAGATACTGGTTGAGCAACTAACAGAAAAGGTAAGGGAGTTTGACAGGAATGGTGCAGCCCTAGACAAGTCTTGAAGACGAGCATCAGAGGTGGGATTACGAACACTTATTCAGTGTCCTATCATGGTTTCTGTCTTAATCTATGTTTAGTGCTTATCAAAAGTCTCTCTTGATATTTTGATATTGACCTTGACTTGTATTTGAGTTTGTGTATTTCTGGTACCCTGACCTAGCTTGTTTCTGAATGAGTATTTCTGGAATCTTGACCTTGGTTATTATTGACTTTATCTTTGCCTTTCTTACATTAAGTCCAGCCACTCTAAGGTCCTGTAATACATTTATTTAGTACCTCTGTTTGTGGGATTCACCACTTCCTGTAAGTTGAGATATAACCCTGTTTACACCTTCCCTAAAAGGAGGGTTCAAAGGCAAGGAAAAAGCGCAATAGAGATAGTGGGCATCCATGTTCCATTATAAATATGAAAGGGCTCCATGAGCATTCCATTCACACAGACCCTCACTGAGGTAGATAAGTACAGTGTTCGTATTTATTAAAGCAGGGGGGGCCAACCCCGACATGTTGTAAGGTAGCAAAAAGGAATTTCTAATTAACCAGAAGCCTGCATTTGTAGCTAGTAAGAGGATGTCCTTCTACCTGCTTCGAGACAAATAGACCAGAGTGAAGAACAAAACCCACCCAAAACCATTATCTATCAATCTCTTATACAAAATGTTTGCAAATATCTTCAGATCGCAATATAAGAGTGAGATTGGGCGATAGCAGGCATAGGTAAGGGATGGATGCAACTTGTTTATAATAAAGGTTGGGGAGACCATCTGGACCTGGGCTTTTTCCCAGGTTGGTTGCCTTAACTGCCACTGCTAGTTCAGTTTCTGTTGGAAGGTCTTCTAAGCTACGGGCCTCATCCGGGGACAATCATTTTGTAATATAGGTACACATGTTGATAGTTTCCTCTGTCTGGGTGTCCTTTTATTTGAGAATTTACTTTCATTCCAGTAAATTTACTTTTTTTGTCAGGTTCTTTCTATGAAAATTAACCTTTATATGTCAGACAACATCAAAGTGTGACACTGGTCAGTGTTTTAACATAGTGTTACTTTGCCAAATAGTGTCTATGTGAATCAGACAAAGATGCATATCTAAATAAAGGCATGTTTATTATTTAATTCTATAAGTTGCCAAACACCTGGCAACGGATTATTGCTGTAGTCTGCAGATGCAGCTGAATAGAAATATAAGGTATTTGAAGTAGTAGGACACACAAGACTCATGAAATTCATCATTAAAGTTCACTATGTGTCAGGATGGAGTAGGAACCAAAACACAGAGACACAGATCACAGTAAAAGAGAGACTAGCTGTGTACCGATCCAGAGTGGCCAGACTAACAGTGGACTGTGTCAGAGTAAAAGCCGAGGTCAAGGACATGAGAAAACTGGAGAAATGGTATTCTAGTCAGATGAAAGGAGCACAGAGGTCAGGAGAAATGTTAAACAAGCCAAGAGTCGGAAACCATAATCAGAATACACAAGAACGCACTGTTGAGCTAACTTGAACCACAACAGGGCAACAATGAGTGGTACAGGTGAGTAAAAATAGACAGGGCTTGTTTCATATTGACCAACGTTATCTTAGAGTTCCAGATGATTCGTGGGTAGTACATAACCTTATGAGGCTAATTCAGGACGTCACTGGATGGCAGCGAATTTAGTCCAGGAAATGCATTATTTGAACCTGAATGCAGGTAGTTGGTGAGAGAGCATCCCAGTAAGTGATAAAATAAAAAATGTCAATGTAAAAGACTCTGGATTCCCCATATGAAATAGCCCAAGTTGTCTTCTTTAACAAATGCTATACCATGATGAAGTACTATGGCATGACCAAACTTAACATGGATCCAGCAAATCTGAAAATATGAAATTGAAATGTAATTTGACCACATCTGGGTTATTCACTCAAGTCTGAAGTCATACTGCAAAATCAGGACATTGTTCAGACTACTTTACAAATGGGCCTCAATTAGATCCGGATTTCATAAGGACTAGTTGCCCCTGGACGGCCTAAATCAGTACCCAGATTCTTTAAATCCAGGCCAGGATTTGAAAAAAATCTGAACTATTTGTTTGCTTGCAGCACTAGCAGCCAGCGGGCAAATAGTTGAAAACTTTCAGAGCTGTGAGTTTTAAGCCTGTGGTGGCTGGCCAGTTCTTTTCAACCACTACAGTAATTGTGGAGTTTATTCAAAAATACACCTCCTACTACAAAGTTGAAACAGAAAATATCTTTGATTTTCACATTTTGTGATTTATACATAAATTATTAAATATATGATTAAAGTACTAGATACTCATTAAGTTTAATAATGTACATCATTTTCTAGGTGCTTTTTAATAAAACATACAGAGAAAATGTAGTACTTAAATGTATAAACATATGACATGTGACTTTAACTGTTGATTAAACAATAAAGGTTTATGAGTGAGGACTGGATCTAACAAACCAGCAGTCGATACTAGGAGGCGTTGAACTTGGCAGGCTTTAGGTCTGGTCTCACTGCATTCCAGAATGTGTTCGTGCAGGGTGTGGCTCCATATGACTTTTAATTTGCATGTTAGATAAAAGAGACCAGTAAAGGGAATTGCCCATTCAATCCCTGAGTGAGAACTCATGCCATGCTATTGTCCCTGGTTTCACAGCTTGAAAACAAGATACTCTCTGGATATTCCAGTAAGGAGATTATCTATGGTACATCATTCAAGCTGTCATCATCTATATTCAAAATGCAGTTAGAAAACTACCTAGCATTAAAGTATTCTTTTCAAGAAATGCAAACTTTCACATTTCTAACATATTCAACTGATAATTTGAAAGGAACACTCCAAGCACCATAACACACCATAGTTATTGTTATGGACAAAAATATTAACCCAATCCATGTTAGTAAAATGCCTATTTACTCAGTATAACTACAATCAGCATTATTCAACCTTACATGTGATTTACCTAAAATGGCCGCTAGGGAGTTTCCCCTTGACATCGACTAACACCCTCATTAACAAGATGGTTCTGGAATCTGGGGGAGACCTCCAAGATACCAGTGACATCACACCCGGTAGGAAGAGCAATACATGAACCACTTAACACCTAACCAATTATTGATGTATTATTCCATGTTATGTCTGACAATGCATATGATGTAATTTTGCTTTATAAGGGACATGCCGTCCCCTCAGAATAAACATTCCTCAAGTTTTTCATTAACCCGAAACCTGTGTCTGGTGTGAATTACTTTAGGAGCGTGCACGCATTACTTCTTTAATTTGGCCGGTGGCAGATATGCAAGATAATCAATTAATTGATTGATTCCACATCATTAGTTATCATAACGCTAGCAATGCCCTGGCGTCACCCTTTGTAAGTAGTCAAACTGTTTTAGAAAGGTCATACTTCTTACCAGGGGTCTCCCCACCTCCACTACTTCCCAATGAGATTCAGGAATAGTAGGAGCTTCCTTTATATCTCCTTAGCTTAGCCCTTCAGTGTAAGGCTAGCTCATTGGCTGAGAGCATTTGCTGATTACTCTGACATTGAACTTAACCCTGCATCGCGTGGCTTAGCTCAGAAAGAGAGATACTTTACTTGAAGTAATGGAGGCATAGAGTGACACCCAGTCAGACCCCAGATTGGTTTGATGACACACAATGCACTGTAGTGGTTATGGTGCTTGGTAGTGGCATAATAACAAGGGAGTGGGGGGAGGCAGTCCACCCCGGGTCCCAGTCATTAGAGGGGTGCCATATCTGTAGCGAGGCCTGCAGTGGGGCAACTCTACCTGGAGCCCACGGAGGCAGCCAACGCCATGTACTGTCGTATTGTCGATGTGCTCTGCCTTCATGGGAATTCAAATGCTATAGGTACACCCAAGGTGCTTGCCATGTTCTCTTAAGATGACAGTAAATGCCTTTCTAGCTACATTGAGTGTCTGCCTTTCACTCATTGTTGCCTTTTCAACTTAATTTAACATGGAGAAATTGCAATTTTTTTTTTTTATTTGATTTTAACTTTGACTAATTGACAACGTTAAGCAGGTAAATACCTTAAAAAATGAAATTTTTGAAGACATGATTTCAAATTATGCCAGGAACAAAAAAACAAAAAAAAAACATTTAAAAAAGTTTAGTAAATCCAAATGTAGTGTTTACCAAAAATATATTCTCACCCCACGGTATATTATGGTATGTTAACCATATATCCATCCAAATGTGGTAGACTGAAGCTGAAGCTCCTTCCTGTTTTTAAAGTGTCATTGTACACATAATTTATGTTTATTGCATAGATCATAAACCTAATGTCATTTTGTTCA